TTTCTCTTATATTTCTCCAACTAAATATAGAATTACATTATTGTGTTTACAATAAAGAAAATAATTACACCAGAATAAGTCAATTGTACAAACTTAATCATGAAATAAATCATAATCTTAATAAGGAGGAATAGCTCGTCTCAACAAGATGAATAAAATTATGAGTGCTGCTAAACGAACCCTCCAACTAAATATAGAATTACATTATTGTGTTTACAATAAAGAAATTAATTACAACAGAATAGTCAATTGTACAAACTTAATTATGAAATAAATCATAATCTTAATAAGGAGGAATAGCTCGTCTCAACAAGATGAATAAAATTATGAGTGCTGCTAAACGAACCCTAAAATTAATTGAGTACACCCTATGATCTATGTACACCCTAATATTATAATCAAAATGTAAAATTAACTAAGAACACCTTATTTAGCCACCAAAAATACCCACAGTACACCTTAATACACTATCACACAACACCCTAATACCATTCGAGAGCTGGCTGTCGAACACTATCAGACCACCAAACCCACCTTGCTGTCAAATACACTAGTATTTTTCATCTTCGTCTTTGCTCTGAGTGAATATTGGGATAACATATTCCTTTCCCATTTTGTTGGTTTTGAGCATTTCTAACCATATCCATGTGTTTTCCTTTCACTTTAATTTGTCGTCAAAGTTCTCCACAGCTCCAAGTTGCTTCATAATCCATCAATTCCTATATATTTATTTTTTTCAATATGAATAAGGATTGAACTGGGTTCTTCACATTGGAACTTTCTCTTATATTTATTCTCCAAGTAATTATAAAGTTACATTGTATTCACAATAAAGAAATTAGCTACACCAGAATAAGTCGATTGTACAAAACTTAATTATGAAATAAATCCTTATCTTAATAAGGATGAATAGCTTGTGTCAACGAGATGAATAAAATTATGACTGTTGCTAAACAAACCCTAAAATTAATTGAGTACACCTTATGATCTAAGTACACTCTAATATTATAATCAAAATGAAAAATTAACTAAGTACACCCTATTTAGCCACCAAAAATACCCCAAGTACACCCTACTCTATCACACAACACTCTAATACCATTCAAGAGCTGGCTGCCGAACACTATCAGACCACCAAACCCACCATGCTGCCAAATACACTATTTTTCATCTTTTTAATCTTCGTCTTTGTTGTGAGTGAATATTGGGATAACATATTCCTTTCCCATTTTGTTGGTTTTGAGTATTTATAACCATATCCATGTGGATTCCTTTCACTTTATTTTTTCATCAAAGTTCTCCATAACTCCAAGTTGCTTTAGAATCCACCAATTCCTATATATTTATTTTTTCAATATGAAGAAGGATTGAATTGGGTTCTTATTAAAATTATATTTGTTTCATAATTTAATATATATTTTTTGGTCATTTTATATTAGAATAAATTAGTAATTCAATAAATAATTTGGTAATAGGTTGTACTCAATTAATTTTAGAGGTTGTTTAGTAGCACTCTAAAATTATTTACCGATTGCATTATTGGTCTATCACTGAAGTTCCAAATAATTTGATGTTCTAAAACTATAGAGTGAATTCAACAGTGTAAAGTCATTCCAACTTCTTTGAAAATCATTTAAGTATATGTTTTAATTTGTAGGTTGTCCGTTTTGTTTCCTTGAAAAGAAAAAAAAAATCATGTAATATAATGATGCATGACAATTAAAACCTACTTTGCTTAAGTTGAAGAATTCGCTTTACGCGTTAAATTGCTCAATGAGAATCTGCCAGACATACTGACCATATTGATCCAAAGTTGAAAACGAAATGACTGGACGTGTTCCAAAATGATAAGTAACATGAGAAAACAGCCATGTGGATGGTGTCTTAAGAAAATGGGATTTGGTAATGGACGCATACTAGTGCTCTTTTTCTTTTTTCCGCAGTTAATATTCCAATTGATTTCTTTGACATTTTCCTTGTCTTTCTTATCATTAATTTTTGTCACTTTTCTCGTGACCATATTCAACCAATTAGTAAGCATGGTGGGTGGCAGCTTCTGGAGACCAATGCTAGTTAAGGAGTCGTTCCTTCTTATAAATTTGATGTGGAAAAAGTACAAAAGAATCTTTAGTGTTAACGGTGTTTAGCTAAGGGAAAAATAATTTTGATTTGTGGACCAGTAGTCTTAAGTTTGAATCCCTATGACAGACTTTGGTAGTTATGTGTGAAAAACCCCCTGCTAGCCGTAACAATCAACATTTGGTAACTTGATTTTCAATCTGTTCCAAGGCGAAAACAAAATAGTTGGGCACGTAATGGTAATGCCTTTAGAAAATGGGATTTGTCAATGACCACGTACTCTTTCTTTCTTTCTGCATCCACATATTTTGTTTGTCATGTTTCTCTGTCTTTCTTATCATTTTGGTTTTGGCCAGCTGAAGGAACTGAATCAGTGGTTTTGGAGATGGAATTTTAGGACGACAAGGGTAAGCTGCCGTCGTCACGAAAAAGAGTGAATTGATGTTTGAGACCACGTGGTCTTTGGATGATGGAAATGCTTATGCTATCCTCACTTGTTTCATTTTAAAAGAAATTTTCCGCTATTTAGATAGTTATTAGTCATAATTGGCTAATTAGAATGACAGGGCACGTGTCTTCCCTCCCTGAGCTTAAGGCGGCCCTGCAGCCAGTTCAATCCTTCTTCATATTGAGAAAAGAAATATATATATTATATAGGAATTGGTGGATTCTGAAGCAACGTGGAGCTGTGGAGAACTTTGATGAAAAAATAAAGTGAGCTCAAACCCAACAAAAATGGATATAGTTATAAATGCTCAAACCCAACAAAAATGGTAAGAAATATGTTATCCCAATATTCACTCACAACAAAGAAAAAGATGAAAAAAAAATGAAAAATAGTGTATTCGGTAGCAAGGTGGGTTTGGTGGTCTGATAGTGTTCGACAGTCAGCTCTCGAATAGTATTAGGATGTTGTGTGATAGAATGTATCGAAAGCTTTCTTCATGGAAGCCATTGATGAGCTCAATCAAGCTTTGAGAGATAGAAGTATAGAGAGAGAGAGAGAGAGAGAGAGAGAGAGAGAGAAATATTGTGAAACTATTTTTCTCATTAGATGAAAATTACAGAACTTACAATTCAAGACTTATATATATTTTAGCTAACTAACTAGCGAATTAAGTTAACAAAAACTAACAGCCAGCTCATCCCTCATTAACAGACACGTGACAGAAGGTATTGAATCATGAGTTACAATATGGTGGTTTGGGTTGTAGGCTAACATCCCCCGTCAAGATAATGCTTGGGGGACTAAGCATTAGATTGTTTCGAAGATAAGAAAACGGAGAAGTATGCAGGCCTTTAGTAAAGATGTCAGCAAGTTGATTACTACTAGGGATATGAGAAACCAGCAGATCACCCCGAGTAACACTTTCATGGATGAAGTGAAAGTTGATCTCGATGTGCTTAGTGCGGGAGTGAAACACAGGGTTGCTAGCACGAGCTAGAGCTGAAATATTGTCACACCAAAGGACAGGTGAACGATCAAGAAAAACATGAAGATCACAGAGGAGTTGGCGGAGTCAGGATAACTCAGCTGCAGTGATAGCAAGAGCCCTATATTCGGCTTCTGTTGAAGAACGAGAAACTGTGCTCTGCTTCTTTGCACACCAAGAGATAGGATTATTGCCAAGAAATACAACATACCCAGTCGTGGAGCGTCGATCATTAACATCACCTGCCCAGTCTGCATCGGAGTAGGCTTGTAGATGAGCATCACCAGAGGTGAAATGAATACCATGGGTCAGAGTACCAGCCAAGTAGCGCAACACACGTTTGACTGCAGCAAAATGTGTATCTGTAGGTGTATGCATAAACTGGCAAAGAGTGTTCACTGCAAAGGCAATATCAGGCCTGCTGAAGGTAAGGTATTGAAGACCACCTACTAAACTCCTATAGAGTGTAGGATCAGATAGAGGTTTGCCATCAAACTTGAATAACTTTGTTGTAGGTAAACATGGTGTAGAACAAGGCTTGCATTGTGTCATACCAGCTTTAATAAGAAGATCAGTGGCATATTTTGATTGGTTAACATGAATACCTGTGAAAGTGTAATGAATTTGAAGTCCCAAAAAATAGGTTAATTGGCCGAGATCTTTCATATCAAATTCACGGCTTAGAGCTGTAACTGTTTGCTGAATCAAGACACCATTATTACCAGTCAAGATGATATCATCGACATACAATAGAAGAACAAGAAGATCACTCCCAGAAGCACGAACAAACAAAGAGGTATCAGCCAAGGATTGAATAAAACCAAGAGTGAGCAAATGAGTAGTGAAACGCTCATTCCAAGCTCGAGGAGCTTGTTTCAACCCATAAAGAGACTTCAATAATCGACACACATGATGTGGTTTAGTGGAATCTTCAAAGCCCGGGGGCTGTTGCATATATACTTCCTCATAAAGTACACCATGAAGGAAAGCATTCTTAACGTCAAGTTGTTTAACAAACCAATGATACTGAGCAGCTAAAGCAAGGATCAATCGAACTGTAGAATGCTTGACAACAGGACTGAATGTTTCTTCATAATCAAGTTCAGCCTCTTGATGAAACCCTTTTGCAACCAACCGAGCCTTGTGCCGAGAAATGGAACCATCAGCATTTTTCTTGAGTTTGAACACCCATTTACATCCAACAACATTCATGGAGGGTTGATAAGGAACAAGATTCCAAGTATGCTGTTTTTCAAGAGCTTGAAACTCATCTACCATGGCTTGAGTCCATTCTGGAACCTTGGCAGCTTGTGAATAAGTTTGTGGTTCATGTAAAGGAGAAGGACCAATTGTTGTTTTGGCAGCCAAGAAACCATGTCGAGATTTGATAATTCCAGACTTGGAACGAGTCTGCATAGGATGTGAGTTAACTGGTGGAGCAGGAAGATCCACAATTGGTGGAGCAAGAAGATCCACAATCAGATCCAGTGAAGAGGATTGGGAAGAAGATGCTTGTGACTGATCCAGAGCATGCTCAGTAGAAGAAGATGACAAGGCATACGGAGAGGAAGGCTCTGCTTGTACCTGATTTTGTATAAATTCTGGTGTCTGATCCTGTACATACTCAGTAGAGGAATTAATAACATCAACAGAAGATGAGACTTCCCTTGCACTAGGTACTGGACTTGCTAATGAATTAGTAGAAGAAGTAGCCTCTGGTAAACCATCAAGTTTATGAGTAACACAAAGGTGAAGAAGGTAGATGAGGTCTATGAGAAAGGGAAGGTCTTAGTGGTATCAAATCTGGTGGTTTGGTATTGATTGGGGAAGAAGTATTTTTAAAAGGAAAATAATCCTCATTAAAGATAACATGCCGAGATATGTAAATGCGATCAGTTTTAGGGTCCAGACAAAGATAGCCTTTATAATCCAAAGTATACCCCAAAAATACACATTGTGCAGACCTAGGTTGCACCTTAGATTGAGTATAGGGTCGTAATAGAGGATAACATGCACATCCAAACACCTTCAAAAGGGTTAGATTTGGTTCTTTGTGAAACAGTTTAGAGAATGGAGATTGCATACTTAAGAGCTTACATGACATCCTATTAATGAGATAATTGGCTGTGGATAATGCATGAAATAGGTATTTGGATGGAAGAGCAGCTGTAGTGAGAAGTGTAACAGTAGTTTCCACTAGGTGTCTATGTTTTCTTTCAGCTCTTCCATTTTGCTCAGAGGTGTGAGGACAAGACTTATGATGCAAGATCCCTTTTGAACTAAGGTAGGTCTGAAATTCTTAGCTAACATATTCACCCCCACCGTCAGTTTGGAAAGTCTTAATAGAAGTAGCAAACTGATTCTCAACATAGGCAAGAAAATGAACAAAAGTAAAGAAGCAATTTGATTTCTTTGTTAAGGGAAACAACCAACAAATTTTGGTACACTCATCAAGGAAAATTACATAGTACTTATGACCATGCAAAGAGGAATAGGGAGTAGGACCCCAGACATCCGAGTGTATCACTTCAAAAGGTATTTGAGACACAACATGTGAAGAAGGAAATGGTTGTTTACACATCTTGCCTTGTAAACAGAAGCTACACATATGTGGTAAACTAGGGGAAACAGGAATATGAGCTTTGGGTAACATAGAACTAGTGATATCATGAGATGGATGGCCTAATCTATAGTGCCACAAAGTATGACAAACTTTTTGACCATGAAAAGCAGCCAAGCTAGGTAAAATGGGAGGTGTCCTTATTGGAAGTGGATAAAGACCATTACTGCACTTTCCTTGATACAGAATTCTCCCCTTCAGATCCTGAATTTGGAACCACAAGGCATTATATAAAATCTAGCAGTGATTATCAAGGCAAAATCGATGAACTGACAGTAGATTAGTGGCAAGATTAGGAACATGCAAAACCTCAGGTAGATTAAAGACTTGATGACCAGAGACAAGAGAAGAGCTACCAACATTAGCAATACTTAGTCCAGTACCATTACCTATAGTGACATTGTCGGTGAAGGTGGAAGGAGCAATGTTGGAGAGAAGCCTAAGATCTGAGGTCATATGGTTTGTAGCACCACTGTCTGTTAACCATATGTTTAGATCCGAGAATTGACCGCTAGCAGTTGCAGTAAGTGCGGTGAGTGCTGGAGAAGGAGGCGTGCCTTGATATGAGAAATTGGTCCTTTGTGGGCAATTAGGGGCTGTGTGACCAAACTGGAGGCAGATTTGACATGTTTCATTAACTGGAGAGGATGAAGCAATTGAAACAGGTGGAGCCGTGGGTGAAGATGACAAAACACCAGGACTTGAGTTTGGAGTAACAAAATATTGAGAAGGACCTGAATTACCCCCATGATGCCATGGACCACCATTATTATTCCATGAACCAGCATTGTTGTTCCATGGACCAGGGCCTTGATTCCATTGACCATATGAACTCCCAGAATTACCACCTTGATTCCACTGATTGTTAGGACCATTCCAGTTGGGACCATTATTGCCACCAGCATTCCAAGAACCACCATTATTCCAAGAACCTCCTCGACCACCATTATTCCACGATCTGCCTCGAGACCAAGGGCCATGACCATGATAATTTGGGCGTCGATTCCAGTTAGTTTGCCAATTTGGATTACCACATCCACGATCAACAGATCCAGAGTGAAAATTATCACCATGAGCAACAGGTGGTGATGAAGAAACGGTGCCTTTCTGAGCAACCATAGCAGTCATAATCGGAGGATTAAAGGACTTAGAAGCAGCATCTAAATCACTCTCTTCTTCTAGCAGTAAATCACGCAGCTCTGGAAGAGTAACACGAACTGGTCTAGCACATATATGAGACTTAAAGTGATTGTATTCCACAGATAAACCTTTGAGGATAATCAAAATCATATATTGATCAGAAATAGAATGACCAGCAGTAGACAATTGTTGTCGAGTTGCACGAACCTTCTTCCAATAGACATCCATAGAATCAGTTCCTTTTTGCATTCCATGCAAATTATTCTTAAGATGCATGATCTTGAGCTCAGAAATTGAAGAATAACGATCTCGCAGTGTAGTCCATGCCTCTGTAGCGGACTTACAATTCATCATTTCAGAAAAAGCATCATCTGAGAGACTTGCAGCAATTAAGTTCAAAATTGCAGTGTCCATTGCTTCCCATTCCAGATAAGCATCTGCATCAGGATCAACAGGCACCATAACCGTGCCATCAAGAAAACTAGAAAGCCGATAAACTTTGAGAAATTTCTCAACCTGATAGCTCCATTGCATGTAATTAGTGTCATCCAATTTCAGAGTAATATAATTGGAAGCATTATGAAGCAAATCAATCGGTGTAACAGAGCTTTTCCTCATTTTCAACAAAGGCTAGGGTTTAATCACACAATCAAAAAATTCAGAAATTCAGATTGATTTCAGAGAGAAAAGAAGCAAGAGATTCGATCGCAAGGCCAATTCGAACAGTGACCACAAGATACGAAGAGGCAGAGAGAAAGTATGAAGTTACTAAGAGATTGAGAAGAAAGCAGAACCTCACAATTACTTGACAGAGAGAAACGAACACCAAAGAAGGGAGCAGTGGGAGAGAAATCGATCACGATATGCAGAGGCAATGCTCTGATACCACGAAAGCTTTCTTCATGGAAGCCATTGATGAGCTCAATCAAGCTTTGAGAGATAGAAGTATCGAGAGAGAGAGAGAGAGAGAGAGAGAAATATTGTGAAACTGTTTTTCTCATTAGATGAAAATTACAGAACTTACAGTTCAAGACTTATATATATTTTAGCTAACTAACTAGCGAATTAAGTTAACAGAAACTAACAGCCAGCTCATCCCTCACTAACAGACACGTGACAGAAGGAATTGAATCATGAGTTACAATTTGGTGGTTTGGGTTGTAGGCTAACATGTATTAGGGTATACCACGGGTATTTTTGGTAGCTAAATATGGTGCACTTAGTTAATTTTATATTTTGATTATAATATTAGGGTGTACTTAGATTATAGGATGTACTCAATTAATTTTAAGGTTTATTTAGCAGTACTCATAAATTTATTCATCTTGTTGACACGAGCTATTCCTTCTGATTAAGATTAAGATTTATTTCATAATTAAGTTTGTACAATTGACTTATTCTAGTGTAACTAATTTCTTTATTGTAAACACAACGTAACTCTATATTTACTTGGAGAATAAATATAAGAGAAAGGTTTTCCAATCGTATTTTCTTTTAACACATCTTCCATTATTTTCCTAGAATATTGCATGTGGAATGAATGTAGACCATTACCGTCTTATCCAGGATTTGACACCATTAGTTCACCTTATTACCTTTTGTGACAGTCAACATTACAGTTTGTTTCGAATTTTAATTTTTGACAAAATGATATTTAAATGATTCTCTAATCAGGAAGAGGTTCAAATTCGAGTGGAGGAGGCGGGCACACCTTCATAGCCAACTAGTTTACCTCATTCCCAATCGTGATGGATTATAATGGATGTACTAATGCTCTATAGAAATGGCATTTTCTGAAGTGAATACTTTGATAACTTGATTGAATTGAATACACAAATACATATTAAAATATTTTTTATTTAAAAAAGTTGTATTAGCAATGCATCTAGAGCTACATTGTGACCACATCCATGAATTCTGAATCATTTGCCATGGCCTCCAAGGTCTCAGCCAAAAGACAAGCTTCAATATCAATACTGCCTTCTTCAACCCCAGCAAACACTGTAATCTTCCCATGTGACTTATTTCCAGCACTGTTTCTCACCCCAACTGGCCTTCCCCAACCAAAATCATTGCCATACACATTGAACCTCGGTGAGCTGCTTGTGACTAAAGCATTAGCAGCCATGTTGCCTTCTGTAAGCAACTTGGGCTCTTGCACCCAACACTCCAAGAAGCTTCTCAGTTTCTCTTCTGTGTGCAAAGCGACCATCTTGCTCATTTCCCAAGCCACAAAACCAAGCCCACGTTCCAGAACCTCCCCTGCTTTCATGGTCACTGTCCTTGACTATAATTGCAAGAGAAAGAAAATTAAAATCAAGCAGCCAGACTGGCCGTGAACTCTGCGTCTTGTGCCAAAGCTTGTAGTGTCTGAGGCAAAAGGCAAGCTTCAAAATCAATACTTCCATCTTCAGCCCCAGGAAACACAGTCAATTTCCCATCAAATTTGTTCCCAACGCCACTTCGAACAGCCAGAGGCCGTCCCCAACCAAAGTCGTTGCCAAACACATTGAACCGCGGTGAGCTTCCTGTCAACAATGAGTTGCTTGCCAAGCCATCAAGCTTTGGCACTTTAGGATCTTTTATCCAACCCTCCAACAGTTTCCTTACATCTTGTTCTGTTTGTGAAGAAATCATCTTGTTCATTTCCCAAGCCACCCAGCCGAGTCCGCGCTCAAGCAACTCGCCTACTGTGGATGTTACTATGCCGAATAGAACAGCATTTCCAAGGTATTGGTCTGGCAATGGTGGCTGCAATCTCTGCCTCATGCCTACTGGCACTTTGTACTGGGTCTCTTGATCAGTTTCGAGACGCTGGTTGCGGGTCACGGACACCCAAAGATGAGCCAAGAGTTCTTGAAGTAATGAGATCCTGGTGGTGCCCATTTCGGCATTGGCTTTCGCTTTGAGCTGTGCAATTTTTTGCTTGGAAAAATGGAACACTCTTTGTTGAAGAAGGGGTGCTGAAAACCTAAGTTTCGGGATTTTGTTTTGAAAGTTTGGAAGGCGAACCGGGAGATCAATCATGCCGTTGAGAAATTGGCGGCCAAAAGCAGGGGGAGGTTGCGAAATTTTGCCACAATTAGTACTACCACGTCGAGAAATTTCAGACCAAGTGTTGAAGAAATGCCAGAATGATGACCCATCAACAACAGAGTGGTTCATTGTGCAACCTATGAAAATGCCATCAACCAACTCAGTTATTTGCACTGCAAGCAGGGGTTTGGATCCACTGCCTTCGTAGTTCAAAACCCCATTCATCAGAAAGAATGAGTGAACAATGTCATCAGGAACCAAAACAGAGTCAAGGATATCCGCCACAGTGACACCATCAGCAACTGCATGGACAAACTCAGCTCCGGCGCCATTGCAGTCTACGGAGAAAGAGGTAGTGTTGTCGTCCTCGATTTCGGTAATTGCAAGACGGCCAGCAAGGGGATAGAAGATGTCTAAGGTGAGGGAGAGGGAGTGTTTTAGGTGTTCAGTCAAGCTCGGGATGGGGTCTTGCTCATAGGTACTGGATTTTGGTTTGTGGAAGAGAAGGCCCTTTTGGATGTGATCTAATAGGAGGAGCTGTAGATCCCATGGAGTTAACTCAATCCTCTGAGTAAGTTCCTTGTGGAATGTGGGTTGAACAGTGGTCGTGGAGATGAAGCGAATGCATCCCATCTAAGATTATTTCTCTAAATTTTAACTGGACAGGCTTAACTACTGATACTTGGCTTGGCTGCATGTAAACTTGTATATCTATATAGTAAGGAGCCAAGCCAGTGCCACATTATTAATTCATTATTTATTTGCAACTTGCAGCAAGGTGGATCATTATTCTATATAGTAAGTGTTGGTGAATGATGAGCACAAAATTAATACAAGTTTTATCCTTAAAATTATATTTGTTAATGGTGTTATTTTATTTTATTTGAATTCAGATTTACTCTAACTTCACCGTAAAGGAAGAGGAATATGTCAAAGAAACCAATTGCAGTATTAACTGGTCAAAAAAAGAGCACTAGTATGCGGCTGTTACCAAATCCCATTTTCTTACGACACTAATCCACTTTGGAACACGTCCGGTCATTTCGTTTTCAACTTTGGAACACATTGAATATGGTCAGTATGTCTGGCAGATTCTCATCCAGAAAATTAGGTTTTAACGCGTAAAGCGAATTCTTCGACGTAAGCAAAGTAGGTCTTAATTGTCATGCATCATTATATTAAATGATTTTTTTTTTTCAAGGAAACAAAACAGACAACCTACAAATTAAAACACATACTTAAATGATTTTCAAAGAAGTTGGAATGAGGTGTGAGTGGTTCGGTACTCTCATTCCTTAAGAGAGGTCAGGGGTTCGATCCCTGCTCTCGTACGGAGTCACCACTTTGGCCAACACTTTACCCCTCACGGGCCGATCCGGTGTGAGTGGGGATTAGTCTGGGTTGTGGTTAAGGCTTAAAAGTGTCACCCATAGTTGGGGCCCATCCAGGACCACCTCATGGTTCAGACAAAAAAAAAAGAAAAAGAAGTTGGAATGACTTTACACTCTTGATCTTGATGTTGAATTCACTCCATAGTTTTATACATGGATTTGTGATAATGTGAAGATAAAAAGTCTCACATTGGAAAGTTAAGAAACCTAGCAAGGGCTTATAAGGAATTGAGCTACTCCCCCCATTGCCAATTGGTTTTGGGGTGGAACCTCAACTTCCTTCATGGTATCAGAGCGGGTTGCCCACGTGTGAAAGCCCAACGGCCACACGTGCTCCACGTCACCCAAAATGTGTTGTCCACGTGTTAGGCTTGAAAATTCGCCACACACGTGCGGGGGCGTGTGAGAATATGAAGGTAAAAAGTCCCACATGAAAGTTAAGAAACCTATCAAGGGCTTATAAGAAGTTGAGCTACTCCCCTCATTGCCAATTGATTTTGGGGTGGAACCTCAACTTCCTTTAGGATCCAGGATTTCAAAATGACATTGGCTAAATTTACCTTATGTACAAACCTATTGAAAATTCAATAACACTTATATAAGTTACACCCTTTGAGTCTTCACAGCATTAAAATCACTAATTATTGATTCATTATCTATAAACCAACAAAAATTTCAATACAAAGTCACATACTTAAATAGTTAAATATCTAATTAAAATCCCCAATTGCCAATTCATACAAGCAAGCAAGAACACCAAAATAAATAAATAAAACTAATTGCTAAACTTTAATTGTAAACCCCTAATTGATACTTCATAAACCCTAAATAATCCCCAAAATTTCAAAAGAAAACAAGATGAAGAATGGAAGATTACCTTACAACGAAACAAACATGCATACAAGAATAATAGATAAGGTACGTATAAAATTGTATGATCACACAAATAATTCAAAGTTGACATTAGAATAATGATCCTTACTGCAAGTTGCAAATAAATAATTTATTAATAATGTGGCACAACACCTAAAGTCCACCAACCCCACCAACTCTTCTTTTTAGGGTAACATGGTAACATGATACTGTGCATATATAAATTTAAATCGCTCGACCAAAAGTTTCAATAATCGAGTCCTGCTTTGCTCAAGAGTAAAAAATGGGAAACGTTCGCTTCATCTCCACCACTACAGTTCAACCCACAACCCACAGAGATGAGTTTACTCGTAGAATTGAGTTAACTCCATGGGATCTGCAACTCCTCCTGGTAGATCAAGTCCAAAAGGGCCTTCTTTTCCACAAACCTTCTTCCACTTATGAGAATGAAGACCTAAAGAACGGTTTGGTCGAACACCTAAAGTCCTCTCTCTCCCTCACATTGGATATCTTTTATCCCCTTGCTGGCCGTCTTGCCATCACTGAACATGAAGACGACAACAGCTCCTCTTTCTCCGTCGACTGCAATGGCGCCGGAGCAGGGTTTGTCCATGCAGTTGCCGATGGTGTCACGGTGGCCGATATCCTCGACCCAGTTCCGGTCCCTGATGACATTGTCTACAGCCTCTTTACCATGAACGGGGTTTTGAACTACGAAAGCGTGTCGAATCCCTTGCTCGCAGTGCAAGTAACTGAGCTGGTTGATGGCATTTTCATAGGTTGCACAATGAACCACTGTGTTATTGATGGGTCAATATTCTGGCGTTTCTTCAATACTTGGTCTGAAATCTCTCGAGATCACGGTTTTGGTAAGATTTCTCAACCTCCTCTCATTTTCGGCCGCGAGTTTCTTGATGGCATCATCGATCTCCCAGTTCGTATTCCCTTCTTCCACAATCAGATCCCTGACAAATTTCTACCACCGGAGCCCCTTCAACAAAGAATGTTCCATTTTCCAAAGGAAAAACTTGCACAACTCAAGGCCAAAGCCAATGCCGAGATGGGCACCACCAAAATCTCATCCCTTCAAGCACTCTTGGCTCATCTCTGGGTCTCCATAACCCGCAACAAACGTCTCAGCCCTGATCAGGAGACCAAGTACCTCTTAATTGTAGGCCTGAGGCAAAGATTTCAGCCATTACCTGAAGAATACTTTGGAAATGCGGTTCTATTCGGCACGGTGACGTCCACTGTAGGTGATTTGCTCAAGCAGGGACTAGGCTGGGCGGCTCTGGAGATGAACAAAATGATCGCTTCCAAGACAGAACAAGAAGTTCGAAAGTATTTGGAGGAATGGGTAAAGAGTCCCAAACTGAACAAAATGGGTACCTTGTCAGTCAACTCATTGGCCACTGGAAGCTCACCGCGGTTCAATGTGTTTGGCAATGACTTTGGCTGGGGAAGGCCTCTGGCCATAAGAAGTGGTGCTGGGAACAAGTTTGACGGGAAGTTGACGGTGTTTCCTGGGGCTGAAGATGGAAGTATTGATTTTGAAGCTTGCCTTTCGTCTCAAACACTGCAAGCTTTGGCACAGGACGCTGAGTTTATGGACAGTGTGGCTTAGAGAGAAAATTAGGGACTCCAATAACCTATCAGTGAACTAATAATAAAGTTCCCATGTCTTTGACAGATTTGTTGTTTTCTAATTGTGCTCATGTTTTATCTTGCCATTCCATTCAAATCCCCGGTAGTTTAGATTAGTTCTCTTATTTTATTAACTCGTTTTTGTTAAAAAGTAATTATAATTAATAATAGCTAGTGTTTCCAACAGGTAAGTGGAAAAGAGCCTTAACTTTCATGTTTGAATTCCATTAACACTTCGGTAATCTGTTGATGAAAATTCCAATGACACTTCGATAGCCTGTGGGTGAGAAAACCATCACTTCCCTTAACTTAGACAAAAAAGAAAAAGCTAGTGCCCCACATGAATAAATTGACGAACCATTTGAAACAAAAAGAGCATTCGTTGAATTCCAACTGTAAAGAAACTCTCTATGTCAGTGGGGTTTAGCGCAGTATAAGACTTACATACTAATCGTCTCATATTCAAATCCCCATATCTGCTTGATAGTGTGTGTATGAGGAGCCTTATCTTTCCTTTATAGTTTAAATTATTACTTTTATTAAAATAAAAAAATAAAATAAACTCTTTATCTATGCACATGGAAGACTTGACTCAGATTTTCATGTTATTGTAAGGGTCATGTTAGGGAGATCAATTTGGAATACCAACTTGTGTACCAACTCTCTAATAAAAGTGGAGTCCACCAATACAATGGGTCTCATGCTCTATTAAAGAGTTTGTACACAAGTTTGTATCCCAAATTGATCTCCCTAGTATTTTCCTTATTCTAATCTATCTTTATTTGTGCTTCTTTATTAATGATCAGTCCTTGTGCAGGAGATACGACATCCTAACCGCATTCCAATGTGATTACATTACACGATTTAATAATTGATGCCATCACTTCACCGACCTTCGCTTACGACGAAACTACATGCATACAAGAATAATTGATAAGGTACATATAAAATTGTATGATCACACAAATAATTCAAAGTTGACATTAGAATAATGATCCTTACTGCAAGTTGCAAATAAATAATGAATTAATAATGTGGCACTGGCTTGGCTCCTTACTATATAGATATACAAGTTTACACGCAGCCAAGCCAAGTATCAATAGTTCAGCCTGTCCAGTTAAAATTTAGAGAAATAACCTTAGATGGGATACATTCGCTTCATCTCCACGACCACTGTTCAACCCACATTCCACAAGGAACTTACTCAGAGGATTGAGTTAACTCCATGGGATCTACAGCTCCTCCTATTAGATCACATCCAAAAGGGCCTTCTCTTCCACAAACCAAAATCCAGTACCTATGAGCAAGACCCCATCCCGAGCTTGACTGAACACCTAAAACACTCCCTCTCCCTCACCTTAGACATCTTCTATCCCCTTGCTGGCCGTCTTGCAATTACCGAAAGTGAGGATGACAACACTACCTCTTTCTCCGTCGACTGCAATGGCGCCGGAGCTGAGTTTGTCCATGCAGTTGCTGATGGTGTCACGGTGGCGGATATCCTTGACTCTGTTTTGGTTCCTGATGACATTGTTTACTCATTCTTTCTGATGAATGGGGTTTTGAACTACGAAGGCAGTGGATCCAAACCCCTGCTTGCAGTGCAAATAACTGAGTTGGTTGATGGCATTTTCATAGGTTGCACAATGAACCACTCTGTTGTTGATGGGTCATCATTCTGGCATTTCTTCAACACTTGGTCTGAAATCTCTCGACGTGGTAGTACTAATTGTGGCAAAATTTCGCAACCTCCTCCTGCTTTTGGCCGCGAATTTCTCAACGGCATGATTGATCTCCCGGTTCGCCTTCCAAACTTTCAAAACAAAATCCCGAAACTTAGGTTTTCAGCACCCCTTCTTCAACAAAGAGTGTTCCATTTTTCCAAGCAAAACATTGCACAGCTCAAAGCGAAAGCCAATGCCGAAATGGGCACCACCAGGATCTCATCCCTTCAAGCACTCTTGGCTCATCTTTGGGTGTCCGTGACCCGCAACCAGCGTCTCGAAACTGATCAAGAGACAAAGTACAAAGTTGTAGTAGGCATGAGGCAGAGATTGCAGCCACCATTGCCATACCAATACCTTGGAAATGCTGTTCTATGCGGCATAGTAACATCCACAGTAGGCGAGTTGCTTGATCGCGGACTAGGCTGGGCGGCTTGGGAAATGAACAAGGCGATTTCTTCAAAAACAGAACAAGATGTAAGGAAACAGTTGGAGGGTTGGATAAAAGATCCTAAAGTGCCAAAGCTTGATGGCTTGGCAAGCAACTCATTGTTGACAGGAAGCTCACCGCGGTTCAATGTGTTTGGCAACGACTTTGGTTGGGGAAGGCCTCTGGCCGTTCGAAGTGGCGTTGGGAACAAATTTGATGGGAAGTTGACTGTGTTTCCTGGGGCTGAAGATGGGAGTATTGATTTTGAAGCTTGCCTTTTGCCTCAGACACTACAAGCTTTGGCACAAGACGCAGAGTTCACGGCCAGTCTGGCTGCTTGATTTTTTTTATTTTTTTTATTTTCTTTCTCTTGCAATTATAGTAGTCAAGGTTCAGTGGTCACTGCCACTCCAATAATTCTGTGTTGGTGTGTAATCCTTCAGCCGAAGTTTTTGAAGCTACAGGAATTACATTTACCTTTCTTTTTAAGTTGTTTTATTTCTCAGCTTTATTGTACACCCTTGGATCACAGTCCAAGTGTTTTCTTATCTAGCCTAGGATATAATCTGTCAGATTGTGACAAGTGTAATCATCTCATAGGGTGATAGGATCAAAGGCTAGGATTTAGTTTCTGTGTAAAGCAGATTAGAGAAGCTTCTTACTTCTCTCTTCTCATACGAATATACATGAATAGTAATGAAAAAAACAGATTTCTTCAGGTTTTACAGAGCAACGTTCTCTCTCTTATTTTCATCTGATTTCTGAGTTTTCTTCTCTTCCCCCAAACATCCAAAACATTGAAAACTATGAATTCTTAACATGGTATCAGAGCCAGGTTCGATTGCTTGAGCTGGGCGTGAATCTGTGATTGAATCGGAGAAATTGGGTTTTGTTTGAGCTAAACTTGAGCTCATCTGAAAGTGAGGTTTACTAGAGGACTAAAACGTTTATTTTCAGTTAAATACAAGGTTATTTTTTATTTAGGACCTTTTGCCCTTGGCTTTAGGCCAAGTAGTGAGGGTGAAATGATAATGGAATCAGGATTAAACCAAAAGCAGAAGCAAGTAGTGACGGTTCAAATATGAGATTATTAGTTTGCAAATCAATGCCTATTTTTATTGGTGGAAGAGTACTGGTACTACTAGGGGCAGCCCTGAGTGTGTGCAAGTGGTGCCATCGCACAGGGCCCCTGATTTTTGAGGGCCCCCAAATTTTTTTATGTGTATAATATATGTATATATTAATAAATGTTATATATATACTGAGCGAGCAAATTTTTGACACAAAGACATTTCTAGTTGTGTTGGTTTGCAGGGCCTCAACTTTCCATTCAGGGTTCGACTTAAAAACCTGCTTGTGTAGATAATAGTTTTAGTTCTTTTTTGGTTTTTTTTTTTTTGTAACAACAATTAATAATCCTAATAATTAACAAGGCAAACACGTTATTTTCTGTAAGTAATAATCATCACCAATATCTCTCCTTAGCTCTCTTTTTTAATCCTTTGACAATTTTTTTTTTCAATTTCAAGGATTTCAACACAAAAAATCGACCAAAAAAATTGATAAATGTCACTCAAAAGCAAATAGTCAGATTTAAATCTGAATTCAAATTCAAGTATGTCTCTAAATTTCAATTTATATATACTAAATGACTTACTTCATTATCATGTTGATTGGTTATATAATGAAAGATGATTTAATTTGTAATTTGCATGCTAATTGATGATGATTTTTACTTTAAGAAAAAAAAAAACATTTATTGTATGGCATTACGTAATGGTTTAAGTTTGTGTTAGCTTATGTGAGGCCCCAGTTTAAGGTTAGCACAAGGCCCTCAAAATCTAAAGACCCCTGAGTGCACCCGAGTTCAATTCACGTAAAAGACAATCCTGAGGCAACCCAATATAATACCCCCCCATTTCCCTCCCTATCAAATGACAAAAATAAAATAAAAAAGATCTAATTGCAAAAAGTAGAATAAAAATTATAGTTGAAAATTTATTACGTACAGGACCAATAAAATTTCTTTAAAGATAGAGTCATATGCAAATGTGACCTAGCTAGCAGCAAACCACCATAATGACAATTAGGGTCAAATTAAAATTTTGGTTTGTTTTTTGGAAACTTATTGTTTTCGTTGAAAGATAAAAACTGATTTGCTGTCTGTCAATCACATAATGTTGCAACCACTGTTTAAAGCAACTTGTCCAATGTCAACACCAACATTCAATATCCCAGGTACTTTCACAACCACATACTGAAATAATAAATACCCGATACAAGGAATTAGTCAGTAATTATGTAGGCAAAGGTCATGCTCCCTATTCTTTAGTTAAAATTTAGCTAAAAACACACAAAAGTTATTTTAGGAACTCTATAAAATTTGAACTCCAATCATACTCCCTAAGTTAGGAAGTCATAAATACTATAGTTATTTTTTAATTCAATACGATTGGTTATCATCTCTATAAAAAAAAAATAGTTTGTATTAATTAAAAGTTTAAACTATTCATAAAACGAAACATCATTAAATTATAAGGAGTCACTAGGAGTTCTTTCTCTCTTCTCATATTTAGGAGTTCCTAGAGGTCTCTCTATTTTAGGAGGTGAATATGGAGCATGGTTGGAGTTGTATTTTTCCAATTCCTCCTTAAAATTTGTCTAAAGAGGTGGTTTAGGGACCCTATTGTGGATGCTTTAAGTGCGAGTAATTATAGTGTACGTAGTATGAGAGTATGTCACATGGTATAACTCGTTTGTTAGAATATATAAGTGGATATTTATTGATATTACATCATAAAAGTGGGAAATATTAACCATATCGCCCATCCATATTATAACACGTGGACGAGTTACAGCAGACTTGCTACTCAGTAAAGCGTACATACATGTGGGTTTTTGGCAAGTCATTAGACACAAACAAGTTTAAACACTTAAATCAATCTCAACCACATGATTTCATTGAAATAGATCCAACGACCAAGCACCTCATTCCTCAAATGATGACATTGAATCTCTCAACTGCATGCATGGCACTATATATATATATATATTCTTCAGCAAGAATATTCTAATTGCCCCAATAATATCTATATTCCTATGTGCAGACACTACTTGTCACGTGCGTACGTCCCCATCATTGACATGACGCTAGCTCTTCAATTACTCATGTAGATTTTTTTTTTCAAGTGCCCATAGAGATAAGACTTCCATATATAGGGCTCACCTCAATTAAAAATGAGGTTAGTAAAGTGGTACACGATTGTTTTTATATATGCTCAGATATTTAATTTTGCAAAAATAATGCGTCCAACTAACTCAACCAAAAAAGTTGCATCCAATTAATGATGTTCTTGGAATATTGATACAAAATAAATTAGGTGTTAAAAAGATATTTAATTTTGCAAAAATAATGCATCCAACTAACTCAACCAAAAAGTCGCATCCAATTAATGATGTTCTTGGAATATTGATACAAAATAAATTAGGTGTTAAAAAATATTTAATATCTGAATATGACCGACTACGACAAAGACTCATCGTCACAATCATGGTGATTATTCAAAATGTGTAACATCCCTGATCCAATTTAATCGATTTAATCAAGTTTAATTCTTTTGTGAAATTTCAATTTTGCCCTTGGGAGTAGGGGTACTTTGGTCACTTTAAGAAAAAAAAATATTTATTGTATGACATTACGTAATGGTGTAAGTTTATGTTAGCTTATATGAGGCCCCAATTTAAGGTTCGCACAAGGCCCTCAAAATCTCAAGACCGGCCCTGGGTACTACTAACTCATGTATGTTACATTAAACCATTTTTAATCGTTTCTTCATTTGGTAAAGGTGCTTTTATTATATTATTTTGGTAATTGAGGTATTTTATTATTATAAATAATAAAATAATTTTTTATTGTTTCTTCGTATTTTTATTAGAGTGCTGCTATTTCCACTCCCTTATCATATTTCCCCACTCACCTTATCTTCAAAATTTTAAAGATAAATTTACCCCTTTGTAAAATGACTTCTAAGAACTTAGGGAAAAAACTTCAATTCAAGTAACCCACCTATTCTCCTCACCCTTTTTCTCTCATACAAATCTCCGTTTCTTCTACAACCCAAACAAGCTACGAAAACCCATTTATCACTCTCAAAAATACTGCCAGAAAAATCGCTATTATGGGGAAAGAGTTTTGTTTTACATGCGAGAGATGTTCCTTTGGGTAACTTGACAAAAAACCATGTCCCGTTTGGGCCGATGAGTGTTGCTGTGATTCTGTGAACAGAAGGAAAAAGCTTCCCTTTGACAACGTAATTTAAAAGGATAAGAAGTTGAAGAAGAAGAATAGGAAGAGGTTGTTGGGTTTGTTTGGGTTTATATTTTTAAATTTTTTGTTTGATTTATAGTTTTTCTTGAATTAATAATTAAAAGGTATTTTAGGAATAATGGTGGGTAGAAAGATAAGATTGTATTTTTTGAAATTTACATGATGGGTGGAAAAATATGACAATGGATTGGAAATAGCAGCACTCTTTTATTATATTCTTTTGATAATTTACGTATTTTATTACTATTATTATTCTGCATATCCGATGCTATATTAAGTATTGGCTAAATAATCCACCAAGCCCACCAACCCTTCTTTTTAGGGTAACATGGTAACATGATATTGTGCATATATAAATTTAAATCGCTCGACCAAAAGTTTCAATAATCGAGTCCTGCTTTGCTCAAGAGTAAAAAATGGGAAACGTTCGCTTCATCTCCACCACTACAGTTCAACCCACAACCCACAGAGATGAGTTTACTCGTAGAATTGAGTTAACTCCATGGGATCTGCAACTCCTCCTGGTAGATCAAGTCCAAAAGGGCCTTCTTTTCCACAAACCTTCTTCCACTTATGAGAATGAAGACCTAAAGAACGGTTTGGTCGAACACCTAAAGTCCTCTCTCTCCCTCACATTGGATATCTTTTATCCCCTTGCTGGCCGTCTTACCATCACTGAACATGAAGACGACAACAGCTCCTCTTTCCCCGTCGACTGCAATGGCGCCGGAGCAGGGTTTGTCCATGCAGTTGCCGATGGTGTCACGGTGGCCGATATCCTCGACCCAGTTCTGGTCCCTGATGACATTGTCTACAGCCTCTTTACCATGAACGGGGTTTTGAACTACGAAAGCGTGTCGAATCCCTTGCTCGCAGTGCAAGTAACTGAGCTGGTTGATGGCATTTTCATAGGTTGCACAATGAACCACTGTGTTATTGATGGGTCAATATTCTGGCGTTTCTTCAATACTTGGTCTGAAATCTCTCGAGATCACGGTTTTGGTAAGATTTCTCAACCTCCTCTCATTTTCGGCCGCGAGTTTCTTGATAGCATCATCGATCTCCCAGTTCGTATTCCCTTCTTCCACAATCAGATCCCTGACAAATTTCTACCACCGGGGCCCCTTCAACAAAGAATGTTCCATTTTCCAAAGGAATGTTCCATTTTCCAAAGGAAAAACTTGCACAACTCAAAGCCAAAGCCAATGCCGAGATGGGCACCACCAAAATCTCATCCCTTCAAGCACTCTTGGCTCATCTCTGGGTTTCCATAACCCGCAACAAACGTCTCAGCCCTGATCAGGAGACCAAGTACCTCTTATTGGTAGGCCTGAGGCAAAGATTTCAGCCATTACCTGAAGAATACTTTGGAAATGCGGTTCTATTCGGCA